ATGAGTTTTTCTCAAATATAGAATTGATCTTCTTACAAGTTAATACAAATACAAGTAGATCTAGTAGAATTTAAGATTTGTAGAAAATAATGAGACATCATTTTTTAAAACTTATCTTCCTAACACCTAGATCTTGCTCTGTCACTTACACTCTTATTTTTGTGTCTCCCAGAAATGCTATTCACTCATTTGTTCAAACTTTGTAAATGTTTAAGGCAAAACATAAAACTAAATGAAATAGGCAAAACACCTACATTTTTCAGTTATATTGAAAGTGTTTGCCTTATAAAATTAAATGCTTTGAAAATCAGAATTTGTCCCCTGTTGGGATTACAACTCTCCTCAGAGCAGACAGTGTCATGGAATCATAGAGAGTGGAGAGTTAACAAAAAAAAGGGCAACTATTTAAAATTGAAATATCCATGCATCGTAATAAATATATAAAAGCGTAAAATTATGTTTAATTGCTCAACATGACTTTAGATCTTCCAGAAAGAGAACTCATTAAAACTGGTAAAGTCTTAGTTCATTTCAATATCTGGGAGTGTGAGTGGCATTTTGCATATATATAATATGAATCCAAAATAAACATATAATGGAATCCGTTAAAACTGAACGTGGTTAATCTAAAAATGGAAGTAATTCGAAAGAAAACAACTTTCCCCCATTTTTCCCCCTCTGTCTTTGTAATAAAAATGATCAAATAGCTGAAATGCTCTCATTTCCAACTGAAAAGACTTTTGAGGGTTATATAAAAGTTATATCGACTAAATTGCACACGCAACCTTTCTTCCAGTCAGTGATGCGAAATCATCAAGCGTAGCACTAGCATGCTTTAAGATATTCCCAAACAGGAGAATGAGACATGAGAACACACGTGCCGATTGCTGCAGTCAAGAGAGAGGCATCGCCAGTGTACATGATGTACTGCTTACCTATCACACAAATCAGCAGGCCTATACACTACATAGTGTGTACTGCGTAGTGAAGTCAGGACAGCGAATGCACTTCTGTTATGTAACCATCGGTAGATCATAGAGATATTGTCTCGGCAAAGTTCATTCACAAATGCCTTGCACTTAAGCATATCACGGCTTCATGTTTTTTGTCGTATCTCCATTTTTTAAACAGTGAAAATGTGACATCTTCTTAAGCTCACTTTTTGTTATAAATTGTTTTCACTGTAATTAAAAATGGAGATACGACAAGAAAGCACTGGGGGTCGTGATATGATGACCACAAGTGACTTGTTTCATGGTGTCACTGGCACTGAGTTTTCTCACCTCTCACCTCTAGTGCAGGGCATAGGACAAAGAGTAGCAGTGTGCTGATCTACGCTGTCAACAAGCAGCACTACTTCAACTCTCTCTAAACCAAAAACACAGCTAAATCAAAGAAAATCTGGCAGACCCACAGATTTTGGTTTATTGAAAATTAAGCGAACAGCACTATACATGATGTATGTAGGCCTGTTGTTATATAATGTTCACTGTAATGTGCAGAAAATCCTAAAACTTAACTGCCAAGATTCATTTAAAACAGTGTAAAGACAATTTTAAAAACCTTGGGAAATAACTGCAGTAAAAATGGCCATAAAAATAAATATAGTGCCATCATCAGTTGGAAATACACGTTAGTGATCACTTAACAGTAATACTCAAAACTATAACAACTTTTGGAGGCGCCTTGAAATTTAAATAATCCGGTACCCCATTGCTCTTTCCTTTCCCACTGACAGCTTTTGCAAATTCACCAGCAGCAGCTACAGAGAGACATAAGGGCATCATGTCATTGATGACTCATCTCATTTTTTTTTGTTTTGCGTAAGAGTTTTACAGCACTTGCAACACAATAAGGTTATATAAGTGCCGAAGATTAAAGGTGTTACAAGGGAGTAACAAACACAAAAAAGAAGGAGAGGAGATAAAGACGATAGATTTTTTATAGGAAAGAAGAAGCAAACCACACCAGAGCACCTGCCAACCTCCCACACTCATCTCATTGTACATGGTGCCGGTACATGATATTCTATATTATCATTATAGTCAAGAACTCATTTGTGAGCCCATAAAGAGAGGGAGCTTTCAAATGGAACAATACTTCTATGCATTTCCACCAATTCACATTCTCTTTCACTTACATCAAGCTGCCAAGAAGATTTTGAACAGATTTTGGCATTATCTTTTGCATAATGTTGGTCACATAATGTTTCAGCAGTCTCTTGGACAGAAGCAGAGGCATGTTAAAATATAATGACGTGTACCCAATAGACACTGTATTCTCTCTACAGCATCCTCACAAGTGGCTCACCTTAAAACTATGTTATATAAGATATTATATAAGAAGCTCAGAAAAGCAAAACTATATAGAGTTTAGATCAACTGCATAGACTGTTCAACATTCAGTCAGCATGATGGAACTATATACACCAGTTCTCATGATTCTAAATCCATAAACCCTTGGACCCAGAAACACAGCAGTCTGGATTACAAAAATTACGGAAACTGGCTCAAAGTCAAAGCCCCATTGATGTCACTTTCAGGGAACATTAGACAGAACTTACAGACCTTACTCAATAGTCTTTCATCCTCTCACAAAAAAATATGAACAAATCAACAACCGTTGTTTGTTTTGTTTTGGTAGTTTTACGGCGCTCACAATAGCAGAAGGTCATATGAGCGCCAAGGGGTGGATGTCAACAGAGAAGTCCAAACGGGGAATCAGGCTTATTCTGCTCACCTCTCTAGCTTCAACAGCACAAAGTCTGCTTCGACTATCAAGGCATCCCGGAAATAGCAGTTCACAAGAGAGTGACAAAAATACAAAAGAAGTAGAGGAAAAATGACGATAGTAAGGATGAGGAAAGAAAAAGCAGCAGTTCCCCCTATGTTGTTCTGGCACAGTATGAGCATGACCTTGATAAGTCAGCACATTAACAATTCTACTGTGCATAAGAACATGTTAATACCCCCCCTTTGGGAATATAACCGTTCTGAAAGCGATCAAATTCCAAACCTGACAATCAAGTATCAGCAGCCTGTACACCAAACTGTGGGTACTATGACTGGCTCACAAAAATACACCCCTCTAGGTTGAACAAATTCTGATCCATGAATAAATCACACACCTAAGCAGAAGAAGAAAAAGTCAACAGGCATTAAATTTCCACTTTCACAAACACCTCAAGGTTCAATTGGGACATGATATACAAAAAGTCAAGTTTGTATTTTTGTTTTTTCATCTAGGAAATGTATTCATTAGTCAATTAAGATCATTGGTAATGCAAGATAAATGACATAGTAAAATATTCTAGGGCAGTAGTTAATACATAATCAACAAATCTCACCCAACAGCGACAAGAGAAAGAAGCAAGGAATGGGTAGGTGTTGGAAAGAGAGGTAGGCCTAAAAGCATCAACAGATCACTACAGTACGAGGAACTAACCTCCAGCTCCAAGGCTGAAATAGAACATTCACAATACTGTTGCACAACCATACACATCTGCGTGCGAGTGTGTTGATGTATGCATGTGCATGTATGTATTTACCACTCTGCGACACACTTCTCTTTGTGGAGATCAATAAAATGTTGTCATATCTTAAAGTAAACCTGCTTTAGCATTGCCAAACAAATTTGAGCAGTGATCAGAGCGACTGAATGTTTACGAAATATTAAAGGAAAACTTCCGATCATGAGTGAACACCTCTGATGACCTGACACAGTAGGTAAAAACTGCCAACAAAACAAGGAACAATTTTGTTATGCAAAGGAAAAAGGAGCGAGCAACTGAGATATTACTGAACAACAACAAAATCAGAAACCATGTTGAATGCTTATAAAATATTATAGTTCAACCGCAAGTTACTACTATTACTACTATCCAGTAAAAAATAACGAAATCCTGATCCATGTAAATTGCAAAAATATTCCAGACATAGATCCAGGAAGAAAGTAAGGCACTAGCTACACTCTACAGGCCTCTCATAATAAAACATTACATCCATTAAGTCAGGGCACACAGGTCCCCACAACACAACAGGAAACATTCACAGTGTTAAGAATCTCGCAGAAAGCAACAAAGACAAAGGACCCATTGCAAAAGTTTGGAATAAAGTACAACAAAACAGGACGGTTGGGTTGTGTCCAGCTGGAGACACAAAAGTCAAGCCCTAGCACGTGTCTATGGCACAGTGTTCTTTCAGTCCGCTGGAGTCTCCACACATACAACAAGAACTATGGTTAAGAGTCTAAAAATTCAACATGAGAAAAAAAATAGAGAGAGGATAATATGACATAAACCTCAAAACTACAAAAGAAACGATTCCCTCCAGGGCACATCATACAACACAGTCAAAACAGAATAAATCATGGGGGAAAAAATAACTGGAAAACTCGTCTAGATGTGCCCACATCATGGATTTATATAAGAAACAACAATCTTAATTTCACATCAGAGTTGACGAGAAGCAAACAAGTGCTTATAATATTTATAATATCATTGTATAAAAAAAAAAAAGATCAAGACCAACCAGATTGTAGGCTGTAAGTTAATAACTGTGCAGTCGTTGTGCTGTGACTAATGCTCCATCAAAAAAGAAAAGTAACAAGTAAACAGATTCAAAACCTAAAGTAAGATTTACACCGCTCTACAAGAATTCAGCACGCTCATAAAGCTGAGATTGCTAAACAAAGTAGACATGTCACACAGCAAGAGATTAAACAATATTCAGGCCAACAACATTATTGTTTAAAAACCATATATATATATATATATATATATATATATATATATATATATATATATATATATATATATATATATATATATATATATATATATATATAGATATATAGATATATATATATATGTGTGTGTGTGTGTGTGTGTACTCAGTGCCCCCTTCAACACAGAAATAGGAATGGAGTTTGCCACTTGCAATAGATTTGTCACTTTCTCTTAAGAAGTGAATTCTCGCATTTGGCAATAATTATTTTATTTCCCTTCACAAGCATCAATTATGTACAAGCCTCTACTCTACTGGACATGTTATCATTCAAGTTCTATCTATCAATGAATTATCAAAAGTAACAATTTAAAAATTGTAGTTAATCCAAGCTGAAAATCTATCAAAAATCAAAAGTTGACCCACTTCACAATCATGCTGCTAAATGGTATAACAAAATATAGAACAAAGGAAAAAAAAGAACCAACAGAAGCCAACAAAGTCTCGACCAAGTCATACCAAAATCTTACAGAAAAAACCCCAAAATAACTATGATCATGCTTTGCATAATGTACAAGAATTATACTCATGACCGACAGAAATGATTGAAATCATGCTTCTTCACAACGCTACAACAATTTATTGCGTATTGTTCCTCTGATTACTAAAAAAAAAAGGGGGGGGGGGGGGAACCAAAGTGGGAATCAATTTCAACCAACGGCACTATCAGGAAAAAACTTAGGCCTCTGCTGGCCTCAGCTTGAACAGAGTATCGATGACAGACTCGTCGGCCAGTGTGGAGGTGTCGCCCAGCTCGTGGTCGTTCACGGCGACTTTGCGGAGGATACGGCGCATAATCTTCCCCGATCTCGTCTTGGGAAGAGCTGGTGCATTCTGGATGTAATCAGGCTGAGCAAAAGGGCCAATCTTTGACCGTACTGAAGAAGGAATAAAACCAAAAAAATTGTTTTCCTTCTCACCTCCATCTATCTACTCGGCAAGAAAACTTGTTCAACCAAGGAGTCTTCACCCTTTTGTTAAACATACTTTTTAACAACTTTAAACAATGTATGCCTTTGTGAAAACAGCTAAGTAACATTAAGGACAGCATAATATGAAAAGACACAATGGTTTCAAGTCTTATTGGGAACCATAATGTTTTCCCATGTGATGTTTTTACAATTGCTTTGATGTTTTCATTTAATGCCATGATGTGATCCAGTAGCTGCCCTCTGGTTCCGTATTCTTCCAGCACTGTCCACAACTTATCTCAGTCTATTCTGTAGTTTGGTTTTGAAATACCCGTTTAAAAAAACAAGGTTTATAAATTGTGCTAAAGCAAAAATAAACAACTCAGGGCTCAGTGAGTTAATTTAATAAAAGTCTAAATAGAAATAAAAAAGGGCACAGAACTCATATATGCCATCCAGCCTATTTGAGAAAAAGATGATTAAGAAACAGCAGAGGGAAAGTAAAGAAGTAAGACCTACCAGTGGCGCCCTCCAACCACCTGCCTGAAGATTAAGGTATTACAATAGAGTAACTAATATAAAAAAGGAGGGAGATATAGACGACAGATGTTTGATAGGATAGAAGGGAGCTACCACACCAGAGCACCCACCACCCACCCACAGATTGCATTTATATATCTTTCTATCCCATACAGAAGCTATGAAACAAGAGTTATCTACATTAAATTAATCTTACCCATCGATTTCAGTTCCACAACCAGATTATCTGAGAAAGTCGCACCCTGAAAAAAAATTGAAACAATGGGTATACAAAAACCATAGCCAGCATTTCATGACAAGACAGTTTTATGTTTTAGCAAGAGTTTAAGCACATGCAACAGAACTAAGTCATATAAGTGCCAAAGATTAGAGGTATTACAAGGGAGTAACAAACACAAAAAAAAGATGACAGATAAGGACAATTGTTTAATAAGAAAGAAGGAGCAAACAACATCAGAGCACCCACCAAATAATTGTGGTCTTAGTTTTAGTTTTAGTAGAGGTTTTACAGCGCTTGGAACTGCATACGGTCATATGAGTGCCAGAAGATTAGAGGTGTTACAAGATAGTAACAAACACAAAAAAGAAGAAGGGGAAATAAGGACGATAGATGTTTGATAGGAAAGAAGAAGCAAACCACACCAGAGCACCCACCAACCACCCACAATTGTAGTCTCCACAATAATACAGTAATGGCTACTTTTCATCAGGAACAGATAAGGACAACTGGAAAGCTGGACAGAAGCGCAAGGAGCAGACCACACGAAAGATTACTGATTCGAAACACCTTTTAAATTTACTTCAAAATCATTTAACTAAAACGACACTCAACAAGACACAGAAAGTCTTGTCTTCTTGAGAACAGCTTCACAAAGATCATCATTATCGCCATCGACTCAAATGATTTTGTTTTTTAGTGGGGGTTTTGTTTGTTTGTTTGTTATTGGGTATTTTTTAGGGGGGGGGGGGTCATGTCTCTTTTGATGTTAAGAAGCATAACACCACTTTCGGGGGGGGAGGGGGGGTAGGGGGTGGTAAGGGGGGCGGCAAAACCAGGGCTACATGAATACCTGGGAACAATTTTTAATTAAGCCCCAGTGTCATGCTAGTTTAGCTGCTAATCAATACCCTTTTGCTTCTCTCAGTTACACCGGTCCCTACCTCTTTGAGCGTGACGAAGCAGTAGATGCACTCGCCCTTGATGTTGTGAGGGTGCGACACAGAGGCGGCCTCAGCCACAGCGTCGTGCTCAATCAGCGCAGACTCCACCTCCGCCGTGCTCAGCAGATGGCCCGACACGTTCACCATGTCGTCGATGCGGCCCGTGATCCACAGGTAGCCGTCCTCGTCACTTTTGGCCCCTATTTGGGGGGGGGGGGGGGGGGGGGTGAGAGAGAATTGTAAACATTTTCGGCACCCAGACACCTCTCCACCGCTCTAAAATTTTTTTTACCATGGGTATGTGTGTGTGAGTGAGCCGTGTGTGTGTGTGTGTGTGTGAAACATGGTGTTTTCTAAATATACGCAAAAAAAATTCAGTGTATTGCAAATGTTCTCATAGCCACACACACACACACACACACACACGGCCAGTAGCACAGTATACAGAACATAAGCCTCACCATCTCCAGTGCAGTAATAGCCTGGGAACTTCTTGAAGTAAGTCGTCTCAAATCTCTCGTGATTTCCAAAGACGGTCCTCATTATTCCAGGCCAGGGCTGCTTGAACACCTGGGAACAATTATGAAATAAACATTGAAGGCATTTGTTTGAGTGAAGAGAGGCCCATCCACACAAGGAAGGACATTTAGAACACACATTGAAGATGTTTGAGTGAAGAGAAGCATATCCAGACATTGAGGGTGAGACATTGCATACTTTGAAGACGCTTGTCTGAGTAAAGAGAAGCACATTCACTCAATGAAGGTAAGATATAGAGCATACGTTGAAGATCAATCCAGCTTCTGTTGTTGTTATTGATCCAGTTATGCCTGTATACATTGCATGATCTTAATTACTACATATCGCTTGTTATCACCACCTGAAGAACAATTAAGTAAAAAAATGTACAAAACAAACTTTTACTACTTAAAACAAAAGTAAAAGCGACAAACTAAATTTTCCTTACCAAATAGCCCTCACCAGGTCCGGTGATTTCCCGGCCATCATCGGTGAGAAGAGCAGGAACAATGCCGAAGAATGGAAACGTCTGCAACAAGAGAACATTTTTGTAAAAATTGTGAAATGGTGTACGTTCAAGCCCCTATTACCTTACTTTATTTTTACTTTTTCATCCTCCGATGCCGTTAAGCATCAAGGGGGGATACAGTTTTGTATGTATGCCAGGTCTGCAGCTCTTTCAATCGGGATATTATAATTCCTCAGGATTTCCTTGACTCCCTTAGGTCATGATAAGATAAAATACATCTTTATTGTCCAGATCCATCTTTTGCGTGGTCTACCTCTTCCTTTATAGCTTAAATACCTGGTCTTATAGGCTCTCAAGGCTGGCTGGCGAGGTGACATTCGTAACAGGTGGTCAAACCATTTTATCCTGTTCTTATCCCCCTATCAACACTATTAAGTTATTTAAGGTGGGACCTCAGAGTTTAACATCCATCTCCGAAAGGACCACACCAAATTGGAAGTTCATGTAAAGTGCCTTTTCCAAGGACACAAATGTCGGACCACGCCGAGGTTCAAACCTCCTAAATCCGAAAACTCATGATAATGGGTCTGGTAGCGAGAAAATTTTGTTTGGGTTTTGTCCAACCAGCAGCCCTCTCTTATCTTCCACTGACTGGCAGCCACATTCATTTGTTCACCATGAGTGGATGGTGGTTGCTCTTTCTTTCCTAACAAACATTTATCGTCCTTTTCTCTCCTCCTTCTTTCTCGTGTTAGTTATTTTCTTATAACACCTCTAATCTTAGGCATTTATATGACTTGATTGCATTTTGCACGTGCCGCAAAACTTTTACTACTAAAATTTGTCAGCTACACAAAACAAATGTTTATACTCACTGCATGGAGAGCGAAATGCTCGCAGCTAAAGGGATTTGAAAACAACAACAACAATACTCACTGCAGATCCTGGTTTTGTGGCAGTGGCACCTGGCAAAGGTGTAATGACGTGACCACCCTGGAAAAAAACAAAACTCTTCAATAAACAGAAAAAAAAACAACCAACATGCCTTCTCATAGGACGAAAAAAATATTCTCCCTTCACTTTCACACACAACCTGCCATTTTTCTCCCTTTACACCATTACGCTATGTCAGACTGTAGTGTTATGAAGCACTCACAGTTTTAAACTCAAAACCATTTTAAAAATGGGGACAATGCCATTTTCCCTTGTCGTCTTCATTTACCACTAAAAAAATACATCCACAAAAACGTTCCATCTTTTTTTCACCCTCCCAACGTCTTCATTTACTACTAAAGAAAACCATCCAAAAACTTACAGTCTCTGTTTTTCCCCATCACCTCTTCATTTATAACAGAACAAAACCATCCACGAAAACTTACTGCCTATTCCCCCCACTCAGCGTCTTCATATACAACAAAACCATTCACAAAAAAATTAACATGTTTTTGGGGGGTTTTCATTTACTACTAAACAAAACCATCCAAACACTTACAGTTTCTGACTTTTTTCCCCCCGGATGTCTTCATTTACTACTAAACAAACCATTCACAAAAACTTACCATCTCTGCTTTTTACACCCCCCCC